AGGTCCACATTGCCCTCACAAGGATCAGGGAGGAACCCATACTCTTTGTCAATGCACTTCCTGGCGAAACTCTTGATCATGTTACGAAAAGCAGATGGCTTGTCCTTGCCGATCTTGAAACTGTTAGTTATATAATGAAGTGCAACAAATTTGGCAACTTACTTGGAGAAGATGAGTCCCTTGTACAAGCTTATGGTCATTCCGAGGGAAATTGAACACCGCATGTCTAGCTGCAAGATTGAGGAGGCGATTCCTTTCTGTTTCGTTGAGGAACAGCCAGTTGGTTGCCAGTAAGAAACAGAAGTGATGCTTGATACAGGAAAGTATCGTGTCAAGGTCCATCTGCTGTGGGGCGGTAAGGTTCTTGTTGAGGGCAAGACTTGCAGACACTGAGGGTGGATCAGAAGTTGATGTTGATGTTGACATGCACTGTGAGGTGGAGACCAGCTGTCTGAATAGTCTGGCACTTGGGCGGAATTCATGTGATGAAATGTTCAAAGACTGCCGTGATGTTGAAGGTGTATGTGATCGGGCCATTGTTGGGACCCCAAAGGTGTGTGACTGGGTATGGCGACCATGACCACTCTGAAAATGTGGAAGTAAAAGAATAGGTTGGATAGACATTACACATTACCTTTGGTCCCTTCGTAACTCCAACAACAGGGGGCTGTTCCCTAATGGGATGTGTGTCAATTCGTGCCGCAACTGGGTTATCATTCTCATCATCGCTTACTCGCTATAGGTCAGTTTATCAGTGGATTGCAAAAGAAAATAGAGAAGGAGCTATTAGAACACATACCACTAGACCATGAGCAGATTTGCTGCGTCCAACAACGATGGATTTTTTCCTTGGGCGTCGCAGCAGTGGGTGTGGATCTATAGTGAAATCAGGGGACCATTTTGAGTTCTATCTATACACTCACCCTCATCTTCATCCTCAGGCCTATCCACACCTTCGTTGGCCTCGCTGCCATCACCATTTGTTTTGTCATGATTATCACCATCACCGTCCTCCTCCCCATCTTCATCTTCGCCATCACCACTGTACTCAATCTCGTCATTGGGCCCATCCTCATCTCCCTCCCTATCGGATATCTCTTCCCTGTCTAACGATGGAGCTCTAAACAGGGCCTTCTTCCTGATTGTTGTTCGTGTCTGGGGGGGCACTTGGCTGGGAACTCCTTTGTAGCGAGCTCCTGACCCACCCCTTTGCTGCACTTTCCCACTACGGAGCTGTGTGACCCCTTTCCGCTGTTGAGTTCTTGTCATTGGAGCCATGTGTGCAGATGAGAAAATGTGCTGCGGAAAAATTTTTTCGATGTCAATAATGCAACACAAGTCACTTAGCGCCACAAGTGGTTATCAAACAAAACATGCCCATGCCTTCATCTGAAATCTCGTTGGATTACTAAGCCATTCTACCTTCCTACTGCATTTTCATGCTCTGTGATGCTCCTCAAGAAATTCGCATGATCTCGGCCTTGATTCATGTCGATTTGGTCTTGGGCTGACTGCACGACCTTTTCCCTGAAGAACAGACAATGCTGACCCGGTTCTCTAGAGTCTGTAGGCACCACGGACATGTTTCCGCTGGTTATAGACATGTGGGGAAGCACTGTAAGCACCCGGGTGGCCATGGTACTGGTGAGTGCTTGCGTTGCACACTAACTCCTTGTTCAATTTACTCACCCTTGACTTTAAGGCGTGGTTGGGAGATTTGGCAAATGAAAAATCCCATTCCTCATTCCACAATCTTAGCACTATCCAGGTTAGTGGTGTGCACTCTTTCCACTTGAAGCGCAACCCATATTGGTCCCCAATTATCAATGTCGACAAGCTATGGTCTCTCGTCCCTGAAGAGGAGAAGGCAGGGCTCACCTCCGAAAGCGAGGTTGTACCTGTCATCGATATTCTCGCCCACAGGTGTGGTAAAGTCTTGGGTAAAAGATTGTGCATATATTTATCCATAGATGTATTGATATTCTTTACTCATGTCATCATTCTTCTAGTCTGCCAGTGATGCCGATAGGAGAAAGATAAGAAGGGCTGGTGGTGGTGTCAAGTTTAAAGCATAATCTCGGCATCGTCACTCTATTCCCTTTCTCATTTATTATCGCTTCATTGCCATTTACTCAACTGACATGCCATATCTAAATCATACCTGGATATGTCCCGAATCTCGCATCTTGATCTTGGTTCGGCGATGTGGACTCTCCCCAATACACCATCACAAGTCTGGGGAACACCACTTCACATAGGTACATTAGTCATAAAATCCTACACAAAATATCAAAATTCCAACACTACCCCTCAAGTCATGCATTCCGCGATTGGGCAAGTAGGAATGGGACAAAGTGAATGAGAAAGTGAGAACTAGGCACATAACCGGAGACGACGGTGAATGGGTAATGGATGTAAAAGGCGTTATTGTGATTTTCGGGCTTGGTGTCGAAGCGTGTTTCAGCCCTTTAAGTGCACAGGTTGCAATAGGAGTGTTGGAAATACGGCTTCAACTCGGGCTCACAGATCGGAATACAATCCGCAGCATGAAGTTTTATAGCCAGACATGAGGTGGATCGAGGGTTGCCAGTGAATGAACCTGGGCTTTTGCTTCATGATAAGGGGTTCTTCCAAAGGTGCATGCCTGTGCAAGGGCTTACTGCAAACAACATAAAATGCGTGCCACAGCGGGGCTTATCGCATACGATACAGTCCAAAAGTGCGTGCCACGGTGAAGCTTACAAACGATATGATCCAGAAAACACGTACCTTTTTGAGGGCTTATCGCAAACAGCATAAGGGGGTCATCATCAGGAAATGGAAGTGGGGATATGTGTGCATGTCCAATGTTAAATCTAAGTGGTCCTCCTGGCTCTTCCATGCAGCATATCCTAAACGAAAGGGAAGTAAGCAGTGGCCAAAGAGGCCTCGAATCCCCTCCTGAGCGCACCCTGTGCCTCAGAGGTGGTTGTGAAGATGCAAAATGAGAGCAAAATGAGAGTGTAAGAACAGATCGTGTGACCCACAACTGAATTCAGATATGCACCCAGTGGTTAATTGTTCTTTGATGTCTGATTTCATGACTATATAATCATGGGACAGCGCTTACCTCAACCGCACAACGATTCTGCCCGCTATCCCACTCATCCTGCTGCCCTCACCTCACTCATGCCAATCTCAAATGTCTTGAACAATTTCACTGTGGCACCATCGGCTTAATGCCGCTTCGCCTTGGTCTCGCCTGTCTCAGCCACATGGGCAATGTCTCCCATCCTCATCCCAGACCAGCAGCCTGCTTGGGTTCAGACCATAAGCTGAACATCCCGGCACAGATGCACGGAGCAGGACAGTCTCAGCTATAGTTCAGTCTCAAACCTAATGCGATAACAGGAACATCAGCATGCTTAAAAGGTTCTCTGACCTACACCTCCTGTTCCCCCTGCCATTGCCAGCTCATTCTTCCTCGGTGAGTAAGAAAACTTCAGCTCTGGGTCTGAAATCGCTGCCATCGCCTCTAACATGCTCCCTCGCTGATAGCTTTTTGATGCACCCACCACCTCGCTCTCCCCCTGCTACAATATGTGCTCAATGTATTTTTTATTTCTCCTTGATGGGTTGCATGTTGCGAGCTCAAATCAATTTATAGGTCGTCCCTTGGCCGTTTCCACTACACTTCACTGTCCATGATTAGATTTGGTGTTCCCTCACACAGTTAATAATAATTTGAGCAAAGAACTTAAGCGAGTGACATGAGTAATTGGTGGTTAAGCCATTAAGGCCGGGTTCATAACCTGTTGTTATGGCTGGCCCGATATGTGGATACTAGCGTTCGGCAGCTGTACTCGCGACATAGCGAGGGTCTGAGGGACTAAAGACAAGACTCAAGAAATACTTCAGATGCAAAGATAGTGGCCATTAGATTGACACTGGTCATTAGCTGTGAATACAGGATATTTGTACTATGACAACGCTATGCTAAGAATGGAGCATGCACGGACATGTGCGTTTTGTGGCTGTGTCCCTTGATCAATCAACTTGCAATCAACTTGATCGACACAATCTCCTTGACTGTGAGATGAGTACAAAGCGCTGTGGTTTCTGCCAAAGAGTAGTTTGTCTTGGAGGTGGTGGGATGATGAACCACATCCGGAAATCACCAGGCTGTCTTGCAAAGTTCCAAGAGCACACTGCTGTGGATGTGCAAGCAACTCCTGATAAAAGTGATGATCCATCAGCTTCTCAAGAGGAAGGGGATTCACTAATACAGGCTGGATCCTCCTCACCTATGGAAGTCGATCCAGAGCCCTCATTTGGTCTTCCTGCTACCAATCTAGCTCAGGCTGTGGATGACCCACCTCCAGACTCTGATGATGAATCAAATATGGAATCAGTCTCCTCAGACCTGCTTCCCGAGGATGAGGAAAGTGACAGGGAGGATGGCATTGGGTCTGAGGATCCTTTCACAGCCCCTTTGGGTGGGATTGATACAGAGGAAAGAGGCTTCAGTCATGAGTACTTTGAAGATTCAGGGACTCCATGCAATACTGAACCACTGAGGACAAAATGGGAAGAAAAATATGAAGCAGAAGGACCAAACCCCCATCTCCCATGGGCAAATCTCAGTGAATGGAGATTGGTTGAGTGGTTGGTGGATCAGCAGCTCTCACAGAGAGCCATTGATGATTTCATAAAAAATTGTTGGGTATGTGACTGAGTCCCTGTGCACCAATATTGTGGTGCTGATGTGCCCAATTCTGATTCAGACCCAAGAACACCCAAAACAACTGAGCTTTGGGTCTGCAAAGGAAATGTACAACAAATTTTCATCAATGGATGGGGCCCCAGCTTGGCATGCAAAGGAGGTCATCCTCTCTGATGCTCCCACTGAGCCCCAGATCCTCTTTTATCGGGATGTGCACAAGTGTTCTGATCACATACAAAATAATCCTAGCTTTTCAAATGCATGGGATTATGAGCCACAGCGCATCACATACTCTGACATGAACATCTGTGTCTTCCATGAACCTTGTACAGGGAAGTTATGGTGGAGGTATCAGGTGTGTGTTTAATTATTGGCACTTTGCATCAACTTATATTGGGGGTAGGAAGAATCCCCTGAAGGGACAATGATCCAGGGTGTCATTCTTGCAAGTGATGAGACTCACCTTACAAACTTCTCTGGATCAAAAGTTTTCCATGCTGTCTATATGACACTTGGAAATATCCATGGTGACATCCGACAGCAGCCTGATAGTGGTGCCTGGCTGCTTCTTGCAATCCTACCAACATCCTCCTTTATCCAGACTGTCCTCACATACACATCTCCTCAATCACATATCAAATTGACCAAGAATGAGGCAGCCACGCTTCCAGGGATTCTTAAGCACCGACTCTTCCATGCATGCATGAAAATAGTCATTGCCCCACTTCACCCCTCTCAGCATTCCCACCCAGTTCTAGGCCCTGACAGAAACATCCGTATGTGCAGGACCTGCCTCCTTGGCTATATTGCTGACATGAAGGAGCAATGTTTGATTGCCTGTGTTGCAACAAGGTCATGCCCTGTCTGCTGTGCACAACCACATGCTGATGGAACAACAATTCGAGGCCATTTGACTGCCAAAAAATGTACTGGAGCATCCACCTTACATGTTCTGAGTAAGGTTAGGGCAGAAAACCCAGATGCCCCAATTTGGAGGTTTCGGTCATTGGTGTATAAAGAAAAATGTGGAGTTTCTGGTTATGTGGAACACCCATTTTGGGAGGATCTGGATGTAGGACCATCTCAGTTCCTGCATCAAGACCTCCTACATGGTGCACACAAATTCTTCTGGGATCATCCATGCAAATGGATCGCAAGGCTGATAGGGGTTGAAACACTTGACAGGTGTATTTCTCTTCTCCCTAAAGAAGGCCGTTGCCAGTTCAAAAATGGCCTCTCAAAGTTAAAGCAAGCATCTGGGCAAGAGCACAGAGATGTTCAGAAATACATTGCACCAGCATTGGCTCAGGCACCAAATGTTTCACCTCCCTTTACTTCCCTCATCATTGCCCTCCTCCATATCATCTCAATCCTCCAGCTCCCCATGATTGATGATCACATCTTGCAAAAGCTTGATAAGCATCTGGAAGCAATGTATTCCAATGCTGATGAGCTTATCAACCTTGGCATCTGAACTAATCTTTGGATACCAAAACTCATGGCTCTTGCACACTTCCAACAGGACATCATTCTAGGTGGGGTTCCAAGCAATTGGAGCTCTGAGACACCTGAAACCCTCCATAAAGTGCTGCCCAAATCACTCTATGACCAAACAAACCAGCGAAACTTTCAACTCCAAATGATATCAATGTTGACCATTCGTGAGAAGGAACAGGTGAGACATCAGTATGTGAGGTGGCACTCATTAATTGCCCAGCCACTACCACATGATGATGCACCACAACTTTCTAGCATCAAGATTGCAGATAGGCCCCACCAGAGTAATATCTCTATTGAGGTCATTGCTGGTTGGAGGCCAGAACTATCAGACCTCCCATCAGCAATTTGCCGATATTATCATGAACGACAATCACAGCGCACAGCTCGACCTCGTTTTGTCTATACAACTGACTCAGAGTGGTTCCCACAACAATACAATGGTTTGGACCTTTGGTGGTCCTATCGGCTCACTGTCCCTGCTTTCAATCAGTTCTACAAGGCAGAAACAAGGGTTATCAAGTGCAGACCAACTGGTGATTATAGAAGTGGGGCATTTGATTCTGTCTTTGCCCTGGTCCATCCTCAGCGCAATGTAATTCATAGTAAGGGCTGATTGCAGATGCCCTAACCCACCCAACACTGACATCACTTTGTAATGGTAGAATATCGTCCAGCTCAGCTTCAACTCATCCTCCGAGCATCAAGTAAGACTGGTGCTAGGGAGGGAGCTGAGTGCAATGGAAACAATCTTTTTGCATATGTGCTGTGGTACACTGACATACCAATCAGGCTATCATCAGGAATGTTTGCTGTCAAAAAAGATCTTGATCATGACAATCAATGGAGAAGTGCCATAATTCCACTGAATTGTATCATGCTCCATTGTCCACTTCACCCATCAATAATTGGTGAGCCTGTCCTTGGTACAACAGCTGATGGTGCTTTGGCATCATCAACCCAATTCTATATCAACCCATTTTCAAGCTCCCAACTGTATCAGCGTTTGCATTTGTAGACCAATATAGTATAGGCTGAATGACAAGTCACATTATGGTGCCAAAATAACTCAGCTTATTCCATGGAGACCATCAATTAGTAAAAGAATCCAAGGCTAATGGCTGATGAGCTCATAGAGCTTTTTGAGTGATGATGAGAGCTCCTTTACATGCATGTCCAAAAATGTATATCCATATGATCTTTGCATTTCTGCATCCTTAGGAGAACAAAATCATATATATATTTAATTTTCTGATCTCTATGTATAGGGGGTGGACAGCAAAAAGACTCAATGTGCTCTCAGAGCTCTCAGAGCTCCGTAGCAAGTTTGCTGATGCAGTGGGCATGGGTGCACTAATTGGACAAGGTGAAAAGTGGCAGACTTGCTGCCCATCCACATTCATGTCCAAAAGGTTCACCAACACACAATGTAGGTACTTCACCTACGAGCTCAAGGCACTGGGCATCCTCAAGGCACTCATGAGATGGCAAGATGATCTCATGGGAGGCCATGAATTCACAGTAATCACAGACCACAAAGCTTTGGAATACTTCAAAGCGAAAAACCACAACTCAGGTAGACACCTGAGATGGCAAGCCTTCTTTGCAAGCTTGAATTGCAAAATAAAATACGTGGAAGGCCACAAGAACAAAGTGGCAGATGCACTTTCACAGTACTATGACTCATCAACTGATGAAGATCTGCATTTCGATGACTACGTTGTAGGCGGGATAATCGCCCACATGCAGAGCCGGCTCGGATATCCATTTACACCATTCAAAAATCATCTTCATTCGTTCCATAATTCGATACAAACTTGGTACCTAAAAATACTCCTAATTCCTACGAATCCGTCGATGTCAAGATCGTCCCAATCGGTGGAGATTTGGTGGAGTTAAGTGTTGCACGGTGCGGGTCACGGGATCTGGTCATGTGCAGGCGTGGGAAGTTCAATTTAGGCAAGTGGGAAGTCAGAAAAGCATGCTTCACACATTCCCAAGGCATCAAATAAATTGGGAAAAATGTTCTTTAGCCACGTAAAGGTTATTCCCAGCCACATTTCCAGTTTCAGGTACTAATTTTGTGAAATCATTGATAAATTCCTGATTTTCCTCATATTTTCACATTTTTACCATCATTTTGATATATTGGATGATATTCTTTTATTCTTTTGATGCCCTTTTCAAATATTTCGCTTACGATGGGGTCCAGGAGCCATATGGCGCCAATATTTCCCATCAATCATTTCTAAAAATGTTTATTCTTTATAATCCTGTACATACCGGGATTGAAAATTAAGTTCTCCCCTCCTCTAAATTTCTCTAAGGCGCTAGGACGCGTCAGAGTTAGTGTGAGTGTGTTAGAAGTTCCAACAGTAGGAGTAAGGGCAGTCGTCTAACCCACAAAGAGTGGGTAGTGGACACTGAGCCCGGACCTTGCAGAATTTCCGGAGAATTTCCCAGAGTTTTAGGATCGAGGCCAGTGGAGAAAAAGGGTTTTAGTGGAGAGTTTCCCCCACGAGCTTGGTTGGCGCTGAGAGCCGCTAGCTCTCTTGCAACGTGTTGGCAGATATCCATCTGGATAAAAATGCAGAAGATATTATCCCTGACAGAACAAGGAATACAAAGAACTGCTGCTAAGCAGTACTCTGAAGAGAAAAAGAGACTCGCAGCAATACATGTGAGAAACACCCTAGAGGAAGCTCTAGGGGGGAGCGATAACCTAGAGGAAACTCTAGGGGGGAGTGCCCAAAACCTGGAAGAAATCATAATTCCAGAAGAGAACCTTCAAAAACAATTCAAAGGAAAAGACCTCATTGAGGCAATAAAATCTGGATACTCGCAAAGCCAGATCCACCAGGAAATCCTAGAGAACCCAGGGAATTTCAAAAACTTCTCCATAAAAGATGGACTGATAACCCGACTTGGAGAAGGAGGAACGACCCAAATAGTAGTCCCAAAAGGAAACTACAAAAGGAAGTCCATTCGAGGAATAATATCCATGAAACACTTGGACACTTAGGATCCAAGAAAACAGTGGAAATCCTCCATCAGTACTTCTGGTGGAAGTCAATGAGGAAGGACACCCACAAGTTCTGCAGGTCTTGCGGAATTTGTCAAACAACAAAGAAAAGCACCAGGAGAAATCCCAGACTGCTTCACCCACTCCCAACCCTGGAAACACCATGGTTGTCAATAGCCATGGACTTCACAGGTCCATTCCCAACAAGCTTGGGATATGATTACCTCTGGGTAATCATCTGCAGGTTGACATCCAATGTCCACCTAATTCCAATAAAAACAACAATGAACACATTAGAACTAGCATTCATATTCCTTCACAAAGTTGTAAAACTTCATGGTCTACCACACTCGATCATATCAGATCGAGACTCAAAATTCATGTCAAAATTTTGGCACAAACTGCACCAAATACTCAGTGTGCAGTTGAAATTCACAACTGCATTCCACCTGCAAAGCGATGGCCAAGTGGAAAGAATGATACAAAAAGTAGTACAAATACTACATGCGATGGTCAGACCAGATCAACATGACTGGGCAGCGAAGCTGTCAATGGCAGAATTTGCAATCAATGCAAGCTCGAACACATCAACAGGATTTGCCCCATTCGAATTAATCTATGGCCATATGCCAAAGAGGTGCCTAACAGCACCACCCTCGGACTACCCAGGAGTAAATGACTTTGCCAAAAAGGCAAAGGAAAACCTCATGGTAGCACATGATGCAATAATACACAATCACACTGCTCAAACAATCCAGGTGAATAAGAAAAGACGCCTGGACCTGCCTTTGAGAAAAGGCAAGCTTGCATACTTATCCATGGATAAGCTGAACCTACCCAAAGGGAGGGCAGGTAAACTAAAGCCCTTATACATAGGGCCTTACGAAATTCTGGAAACATTTCCAGAGATGTCAAACTACGTCCTCAAGTTGCCACCACAACTTGAACAATGCAGAATCCACCCAAGATTCCACATATCCCAGCTTGTACCTCATGAGCCGAATGACCAAGAAATCTTCCCAAATAGGGAAGTAAACATATTCTACATTTCGGGGAAGGCCCTGATCATGAAGCAGTAGTTCATAAAATCTTAAACCATGCATGGGTTCACAATGAACTCTGGTTTAAGGTTAAATGGGAGCTAGGGGACACCACATGGGAACCCCTAGGAAATTGCAATGACCTCATCCACCTGGATGAGTACCTCACATTACAAAATGTGAGGGAACCAGAAAACCTCCCTATCAAAGAAGACAGGGAACTCTCGGCATCACTACACCCCCAAAAATGGAGGTGGAGGAAGTAAAACTGAGGGATGATTGCCCACAGCCAAGAGCATGGGAAAATTCTGGGCGAGCAACTCACCTGGACAGCCACACCATGTGCTAGAGATCACATGGGCCAGGTGAGTAACTCACCTAGACCACATGAACCACAGGCTCATGCACACACAACTGTGGCGAATCCCATGCATGCAAAAACTAAAACCCCTCCCACCACCATGAGAAACATAACGACAAAATGTCGTTCTCTGGGGGAGGTAACCCTCAGTTCAATCCCAAACAAGCCACCGGACATTGAGATACAACAACCCAGGGAGCAAGGCTCCCCGGAACAACAACAACACCAGGTGCAGATAAGCACCATGGATTACACGATGCATGTGGCACAAATGAGTGCCGCAAACCAACAACCATCCACATTGCCAACAGGCACTGCATACCCCCAGCCTCCTCAGAGGGGCTTCCAACCATACATGGTGCAAACTACACCAATGGCACAACAAGCACCATTCCAGGGGCAGCATTTGCTGCTGCAGCCCCAGGTATGCTCCCCAGGGAACTTCCCTGGCCAGATCAACCCCTGGATCTGCCAATTCAGCCCAGGTCCAACAACACCCCAGCCAAATGCAGGCTGGGAATCAGCTATCGCATCAGCAGTAGCTGCTCAGACAGGTCAGCTCCACAAGGAGCTGAAAGAGATGAAGTCCCTTGTAGGAGGGAGACAAGGGAGTGACAGCAGCTCCTTGTCCAGACCATCCAAACAGGCACAGTCTGATAACTCAAGGGCATTAGAAGATGCCTGCAACAATTGTGCCCATTGGAGGTGCGAATACAACAGAGCATGAAGAGATGCCAAGGGCACCTTCAACTCTCTGAAAGACACAGAGTGTCATATCCATACAATCCTGACCTCCGCTCCGGGCTCCCGGAACTCCGAACTCCGACTTCCAGAGTCCTACTTCCCTTCTGTCACCTCCTCCTTGCCGACTCCCAAGAGGTTATCCCACCTCCGGCTCGGACACCACCTTCGGTCCGACTCCGGAACATTCCGGGTCCGACCCCAACCTCGACACCTTCCAGACGAGTACGCAAAACCTATGCTCCCGACTCCGGACCTCCACTCCAGTATCCCGTTCATGTCTCGTCTCCGGAACCTCCAGTCTTAGCTCCGACCTCGGACTTTGACCCCACCTCTGCTTATACCCATTGTATTGGTTAGCTCATTCCATTTAATTATGTTTGCCAATATTCCGGAGTTTAACCTCCGAGTTCGGACTTTCCGGACTTACTCCGGACCTTGCAACTATTGCATTGTCCATTTCAATTCCGCTATTCTCCCTCATTCCTATTTGGGCTGCTGCTTCCTTTCTATTCAGTCAGCTAGCCATTCCCCACTCCCAACCTCCTTCCTTCCTCCTTGGGCCTTGGCCCTTCATTCCTCCTTTGGGAAACACCATTGAGTCAAACACTTGACCCTCGGTGTTGTTCCTCTTTCCATCTCCCTTTGTCTCCTTTCGTCCTACCCTTGTTCCTTTTGATTCCGGACCCCTCCTTATATACAATGTACCTAGTAACTTGTAACCTCAGTCCGAAATCGACTTGAATTCCCCCAAGAGACTTTCCCTCTGCTAGATCTGAAATTAGGGACCCCTAGGACAACCAGCAATGGCACAGTGCTCTGCCTGAGTCGCTGAGGCGAAGGTCCTTCCATGC